TTTGTTTTAATAAAACTTTGTTTTTGTATGTATTTAGTTATAGCTATTGATATTGATCCAAACAAGATAAAGTTAGCACGTCATAATGCTGAGATATATGGTGTTGCTCATAAAATTGAATTTATTGTTGGTGACTTTTTTTTAATTTACCCGAAGTTAAAAGCCGATGTAGTATTCATGTCACCGCCATGGGGAGGACCAGGATATTCAATTGATAATAGTTTCAGTTTAAAGTCAATGTGTGCTAATTATTTCGGGGGAGGTTTTAAAATTTTTGATATTGTTAAAACTATTGCGCCTAATATTGCGTTTCATATGCCGAAAACCACAAATATATTAGAAGTAAGGCCACATCATCTATGGTGTTCAATATAATCTAACTTTTAAATTATAACTTTTCAGTGTATGTGGTTGGCAAAAGATTTTGGTCAAGTGGAAATTCAGCAAAATATTATTAATGGAAGGCTGAATTCACTCACAGCGTTCTATGGAAACTTCCACTAAAGTAACTGACAGTTGTCAGCAACTTAAAAATATTCTTTACAGTTTTTGATTAATTATTTGTGATTATTAGAATAAAATTATTTTGAATTTGTTTCATTATTTTATCGAGTATTTATTTTAACAAATTAGTTTAACCATACACCTATCTTATATTTATTGATATATTATAAGTATAAATTGTATACATAGCTAATGCAAAAACATTTTATGTGAAAGATTATAGAAAATATAGTTATACCAGAGGTTGTCATAATTTTTACCAGTTTTTATTTTTTAGTATGTAATTGTAATGATAATTAAATTGTTTCAAAAATTTCAAAATAAATTAATAAAATGATTCAGATTACAAATTAATATTCCTACTCCAACAATTTTGTATTATTAAATACTAAGAAAAAAAAGAAATGAAAACTGAAAGTAATGCATTGAGAGAAGTTGAGTTCATAGAACATAAATGACAACTATTTGAATATAATATTCTTTTAAGTCATTGATATAAAATAAAATTATATATGTGAAAATAAAAAAATTGTTGCAATTTAAAAAGTTCTATAGTTTATTAACTATTACGTAAAACAAAGTTAATTCTGTAAGGCGTATGTATACATTTCATTAAAAATATTTTATCACTAAAATCATTGAATTGGAAAAAAATAATACAATAACAAAATATCTAAAAATGATGCATTTGTAGTGCTAGGAAAATACTATACTTACAGCTAAGTTTTTTTTTCTTGAAATCTTTTAAGGATTGAAATAGTTAACTTTTAATTAATGAATCTATTGTACACTATACAAAAAAAAAATGAGTTATACATTATTTCACACTTTATCATCACTTCTTAATTCTTCCATTTTATTGGCAATATTTCTTTCCATTTCAGCTTCATATCGCCATCTCCAATAAGCTGCCTAAAATTGAAATATTAAAATTAAATTATAAAAGTATGAGGTTTCTTTTAAATATTGATTAAAAAAATATTTACTTTTGAACGATCCCATAATGCTTCAAATGAATCTAAGGCAGGCCTTACATCCAAAACAGCCACTTGATATTTATTTGGTGAATTATCGGTACTATAATAATCAATAACATATCGTACTTCTTTTCCACAACGATCTACTATCCAATCATGTCTATCAAAAGGTATTTCATATCCCATCCAATTTCGTATTCTTGCTCTTGGAGAAAAATGTTTAGCTTTACCCCCAAAGCTTTTCAACTTTGGATTCATACATTCATTTGCATGGAATGCTTCCCATTTTAGCACCTCTCGCCAAGCAAGCTCATTGTTGATGTTGTGAATTTTGATTATAACATCCATATCTTTTGGTGATAAATCATCATCTTTCCAACGCCATCCTTTTCGTAACATTGCATTCCAAAACATCTAAACAATTTCAAAACAGTTTTTAGTAAAAAAATGTTGTATTATATATATTTGAATTATTTGTGTTACTTGAGCTGACGGATAAACCCAAAAGTCACCCTCTCCTTCTGACTTTGGTATAGTAGATACTTCTCGTTCAGTTGGTAGTAGGAATGGTTGATCTGGTGCTGGTTTCTGATTTGGAGGTGGCATCTATGAATATAATACATTATATACATAGTGATTCAATAGTTGGTTTAGAGCATGAACTAAGATATATTATCTTAGTTCATGATCGTGGTCTCTACCATAGAGTAGATACAATATGAATGGTCTCTACCTCCATATTATGATTGATAACAAATTGCGCCAAAACTACGGTCTTGTATATTATCTCACAAGTCATCATAAAACCCTAATGAAAAATAAAATCACTATTCAAATTCAATTCAATTCTATATAAAATATATTAATTTAAGCTACTCGTACATATTTTGTTTTAGTCAATAATGTAGGTAATGTATATTTGTATAGGTACCTAATAAGTAATAGTACCTAATAATAATATTGTAGGTATTTATAGTCAGTCACTATTATTTAAAAATCAATAACATTTAAAAAATATTTAAAAGCCAGACTGGTATGTTAAATATTATTATATCTATCTACGCTGTTAAAACTTGTAAAATAAAAAATTTTTTACCTAAAGCAATATAATATCAATCCAAAATCCAAACACCATAATTTTACTTCAAATGTTTTTAAATGATGTTTTTATAATTTAAAAATTAGTGTTTTTAGGTTTAGAACAATATATTATTTCTAATTAGTTTTATTTTTTCCCTCTATTTAACTTGGTCTCATATCTTAAGAAAACTTTAGGTTTTAGTAAAATGTTGAACCTTTTCAATATTTTACTTTACTCATTAAATCAAATTATTCTTTAATTTTTCTCCTAAATAGCTTCTTTTAAATTTATTTAATAAATATTCTATGTCTTAGGCAATATAAATTAAATAATATTCTATGTCTTAGGCAATATAAATTAAATAATATTCTATTTATTTTTTCAAAGTATAAGCTTCTACTATTTTTATGTCTTAGTAAAACAATACCTATCAATTTATTTATTAAATTAAATAAGTGCTTAATTTTTTTTTTTTTTTTAATTCTTTACTAAACTTACTACAATAAATTGCTTCATTTTATTATCATCTACTTTCAGATTGCTGTCGATATAGAATCATGTTAAGTAGTTATTAGTTCAGATGTTCAGCAATTCAATTTTAACAATCTGAACCAATCTTCAAGCAGTCCTATTATAATTAACATACTTCATGCATAAAATATTTTAACACAAACTAATATCACACTAGAATCCAATAATTGTTCTTACCTTCCTATGACAGAATCATTACATTATTTTGTTTTAACTAAATATCTCAGCGTACCTATTTAAAACCATCACATCATTCATATCAGACAGAACTTTCCAAGTTAGAATAGACACAGACCTATCAGTAAGACACAAAATAAAATCTGGTGTCCCACAAGGATCAGTCTTGGGGCCAACCCTCTTCAATATCTACTGCTACAATATTCCCAATCCTTCCAACTCTCAACTCGCAATGTTCGCTGATGATACGACAATCCTTACACAAGACAGCTATATAGACTCATCAATACAAAAACTTCAATCCTCATTGAATGAAATCACTTCCTGGTTCCATAAATGGAAGCTGAACCTCAACTCGACTAAAAGCGTGGCTAAAATATTCACCCTAAAAAGGTACAATGATCCTAAAAGCATCTACATTAATTACCATGCCTTACAGTTGAACAGAAAAGACGACTCTATAAAATATCTTGGTGTTTTCCTCGATGAAAAACTCTCATGGAACATCCACATAAATAAAAAACTCACACAGGGCTATGCCAGAATGAGAATGCTCTACCCCTTAATAAATTTTAAATCTACACTCCAGATAAAATCGTCACTCCTTCTGTACACATCAATAATAAGGCCTTTGATAACCGACGCCTGTCCTGTTTGAGCAGCGGCGTCACCCACAAAAATAAAAAAGTTACAAATCTTACAAAACAAATTTTTGAGGATTTGCCTTAAAGCTCCGTAGTTCATGAGAAACACTCAAATCCACAACGATACGGGTATACCCTTCATTAACAAATGGATAATGACTCAATTCCAAAACTTTCACGCCAATATAAAAAATTTCGACTCCCCCAGGACATCCTCCTAACGGATAGCGAAGATTCATCAGAAGACCCATAAAAGAACACACTTACACTATATATGTATATCTATAATTTTACTCAACCGTATCCATGTAAAAAATCATGTACTTTGTATAATCCAACCCATTGTTAAAAAATAATACTTGTAATAGCACCCAGTGTGCTGAAACATTTTAAAGTTAAATAAATAAAAAAAAAAATTTTGTTTTAATATTTTAGTTTTTTGTTCCTAAGGAATGGACTATGTCCTATAATAATGATTACAATTTGGTATAAATTATTATTAAACAATAATTAAATACTGTTTATGTCTATTTTATATGTTATATTTATAAACACAACATATTTTATTATACTGAAGGAGTATAATATTACATATTATAAAGTTATTTATTTCTTCATGTTAGGGTAATATTAATGTATATATTTTTACAAAACGATGTTACCTAGTTGTAGATGTATTTTTGTAAAATAATTACCTATATATTTGTTATATTCGTGTACTATTATAAAATAAAAAAAAAAAAATATTTATTTGTGATAATTTAAAAAATGTGATTAAATAGAAAAATTAATTATAAAGAATAATACACTCCATTTGCCCTCTATTTGCCGAACCAAGTTTCAGTATAACTTCATTGTGCATGTCGTTCCTTTGGTTTATGTTAACCCCCAAGTATTTAAAATCTCCAACTTTTTCAAATAAGTATTGTCCAACCCTGATACCATGCATAACCATCGGCTTTCTCGCAACAATCATATATTTTGTTTTAATTTCATTAACCGGGAGTCCCATTTCTTCACTACTTTTTAACAAATTAAGAGTACTTGTTGTTAACTTAACTTTAGATTTTCCGAGGATTACAATGCCATCAGCGTATGACAGCAAATTATTCTCTCCAATAACCTCCATTTACCTAAAATTTTTCGTTTCTCTAATTCCTCTTTCCAAGGCTAGTTTTCAATCTGTGACTCCACTTTATCTAATGCTATTATTTCAAAACGTATACTTGTTTTAATTACTAAAACATAATAAGGAACTACTGAAAAGTATAAACATTCACAAAAATTGATTTGCTTATATGTTTTAAAAGGAATCTAGTAAAATGATGATTGATGAAATGTGTAAGGCCGTTATCAATGATTCACCAAATCGCCTTAGACTCAAAAGGATTGTATCATCGTTAGCAAATAAAAATATATTGAAGTCAAAAAAAATTAAACTGCGCAGTCAAAAAGCGAAACGGCAAGGCAAAAAAAATAGCTTCTATGATATATAATATATTTTTGTCAATTATGACACAAGTGAATTGTTGTCTTCCAGTTTTGGTAAGCATAAAGAGGTAATGGTCCAATATGCGACCTACAAATGTTACTCGACCTACCGATACTATTGAGTTGATCTACAGGTTTCTTTATAATAAAAATTATGGGAATCGTATAGTAGGCCCATGGGTATTTGGAATTTGTTGAAAACGGCCAGACTTATTATTAGAACGGCGTTTTTTTATAGTAGAAAAACGGGACTGAGAAACTCTTCTACAAATTATTAAAAATGAAATAAAAACTGGAACGACAATTTATAGTGAGCGTACTCAACATTAAATCATCATGGATATATTCATCAAACAGTTAACTATTCAGAATTTTTTATTGACTTTATTGACACTTACATTGAGTAGATGGCATGATCATACTAATGCTAATCCTGGCTTTACAAATGAAACACTAAACATTTTTAATTTAAAATACAACAATTCTGGTCACCCAATTGTTTGTGGGTTAATTATAGATGAAATGGAAATCCGTCATCATTTAGAATGGGATGGAAGAAACTACCATGGTTATGTTGATTTTGGAGCTGGTATTGATAGTGATAAGTCAGATAATGCTTCTGAATGTTTGGTTTTTATGTTGGTTTCTATAAATGAACATTGGAAGATTCCAGTAGGTGTTTTTTTTGTTAACCATTTAAATAGCTCTCAAATGTATGAGTTAGTTAATAAATGTTTAAAGTTAGTATTTGAGACTGGTGTAAAGATAGTTAATTTGACTTTCGATGGATGTTCATCAAATATAAATGCAGCCAAACAATTAGGATGCAACTTTGATATTAAATCATTAAAAAGTAAATTTGAATTTAAAAGAGATACCAATTCAATTAAAAATATATGAATTTTTCCTGATCCTACTTACATGATCAAATTGGTAATAAAGACCTTTGGAGAAAAAGGCTCTGTTAAACAGCAACAATGGTGAAATAGATTTTATTTATCTTCAAAAATTTTTAATACTTCAAGAAAATGAGGGGTTGCATTTAGGTAACAAATCAAGAAAAACAGCATAAAATATTTGGTATTAAAATTATGTAAAAATGATATCACACTGGGCAGTCAGCCAACTATTGTTTGCATAATATGATGAGATTCGCCATTCGGAATACAGTCGGTCGACACTATCGTGGGTCGATCGTCACGAATAAAACGCTGCACCAAGCACGTTCGACGTCGTTAGGCGTACGACTGTATCGGCCGGATCTATGTATTATGTAAATCGCGGGTCAGATTGGTCCGGTCACAAGGGACAACGATTGCAATAATGTACAGTTACATAATTGCTCAATCTTATTGATGACCCGCGTATTCGGTAAAAACAAATAAGCATACGACAACAGAACGTTATGGGCGTGGCTTCGAGGGCAGCAGCTAACCAGCGTTATCTCCGCCGTTCAACCACGCCCAACGACCAACCAACGACACTTCATGGGCGGCTCCTGCGATGACGCGGCGGCGAGACCAGGTTATAAATACGAGTGCGGAGCACTAAATCGGTCAGTGTGTTCAACGGAGCCTTCTGCGGCAAGACCTACCCAGGCAGACTTGCACAGATAGGCTTCATACACAAATCTACTTAAAATTATAACATTGTTTTACACTGAAATAAAACCAAATACAAAAATTATACAGTCCACTGTTAAGCCTTGTCCTCGCCGGAACAATTATTATAATACTAAAAAAACTGTTATTATTACACATTTTTTTTTTTTAGCTTCTAGTATTACTATGATAGCTCAACAATTATTTGAGAATATAAAATACAAATAGTTACAAGATAAATAAGATACATTAGTTCCGAAGAACTGTACAATATATAATATTACGTAAGCAATTTAAAATTATCATTGCAAATAGTGAGTTAATAATGAAAACTATTATATAAGAATAATATTGCTGAAAAGTGCAAAGTGTATAATTGGATAAGATAAGAAAGAAAATCATGAATAGAACGATAAGAAACATGTTAGGTAGTATTTTTGGCAATAAGTGCATTTAAGACTGTGGAGAGGAGTGTGATGAGTGGGCTGATAAGAGTATTCAAATTAGATATGAATTGGGAGAAAATACCGGAGATATTTTCTGTGGGAGAATTATGAGTTTTAGCTGCATACGTTTTAGGCACAGAGTTGTTAGGATGGTCGGTAGTCTTAGTAGCCTTTGAAGGTAATTTTTTTGAAAGTTGGACAGCCCCTGAAGTTTGCTGTGTGGTCCATTGAACAGAGGGCGCATTTTGCAGGACTGGAGCGTTCTTTGGTGCATTCCTCAGAAAGGTGACCCTCTCCACATTTAACGCTGCGAGCAGGGTGGTTGCAGTAATTGCGAGTGTGACCGTACGATTGACATCTAAAGCATTGTGGTGGACCCGTTGACTTTGTGTGCCGTTTTTCAATTATTACCTTAGTGTTTACTGTTTAGTAACGACGTGATTTTATGAATATCTGCATTATTTTCGTTCGGAGAGACCTCTACGAAAAATAATGGGAGGGGGCGTTTGAATTTGTCTATGACGTTTTGCACCCGCACGACTGAGTGCCCAAGTTTGGATAGAACGGAAACGATATCGGTACTTGTGGTGGTGAAATGCAGATTTCTGATAGCGATCTTGTATGAGCGATAAACGCGAGGTTGAAAAGAATGAAATTCAGCGTTAGTTTCATTTAAATGTTCAGTAATTTTATTAAAGTTGACTCGCCCAGAAGGCTGAACAATAAGGAATTGGGACGACGATTTACAGGTGAAGCCGTTTGGGCTGGTGAGATTTATTAATGTATTGTTGAAGGATGCGTAGTTTTTATGTTTTTGATATAGAGCGGAGGAGCCGGCAAGTCGTCTACTTGATCGTTATCGGTAATAGTTGGTTCAATATGATCGTCGGAAAAACAATCGGATGGAGAGGTAGTTACTTTTAAGTCGGTGTCTTCGAGGTAGAGAGCGGCGTATCTATTCGGTGAAATAAATTTTTTGGTTTTTTTATCAGATAGAATCTGCAATATATAATATAATTAATATTTATTAAAAGTTTAGTGTATCTCTAATAAACATGAAATATAAGTGTTTATAATTATTTAATATGCCTACTACTATGCTTGTTTCAAAAAATAATCGTGTTTACAAAGTATTTAAATAACTACAAAAATATTATTAATAAGTAATATGTTATAACACTCATAACTTGAGACCAGAATTGTATGCATTTGCATGTTCATACTGAGTGTGTCGAAATGTGGGCGATTCAGATCTAACTGATTCCATAGATCAAATTTAATTTTCATTAAATGGCATATTTAGAGGATTGTGGCATTTTTTCTCTTAAGTGCATATAATGTATATATTTGTTATAAATGTTATAATCTTAGTAAATAATCAAATTGTTTCATTTTTTTATTTTGGAAATTGGAGTTTTTAATATTTAATAACACTGTCTACAAGGTATAGAATTTTATCTTTCATAGTTCGATACCGTGTTGATAAACTATTATCTGACAAATTAAATTACTTTTAAGGTTACTTCTTTAAGTTGTGTACAAATTTAGTATTCGTTTATTGGCTGCACTGTAAATTTGAAAAGTGATACACTGATTTAAATTCACGATGTTTCACCGTTTCATGTATTACTGTATTAGCATGTATAATCATTAATCTATTTTGTCATGTGCTCATCTAGTCATGTGTACTGTACTGCTGCATGGCTGTTGTAATTGTGTATTTGTGTGACTTTGTAACTGTCCAGTGTCCGTGCTGTGTAGTGTACATAGTATCATGTTTCGTTTACGGTTTAGTGAAGTTTTTATTCTTATTTCTTGTCTTTTGAGTAAATTAAAAACAATTTTAAAAAATGTCTAAAATACGAAAAAATATTAAGTGTTTGATAAACCAGTGGATTGAACCATATAATAAGGAGTAAGGACACTACTGTATTAACAACTGATGTAAACATAGTCTTATTGTCAGGTATGCAATCGCCATGTACCGTGTAATAAAAAATTTCAAATCACAACATGTTCATACATCTTTTCATACTGATTCTTTGAAACGAAGTTTAAATAATAAAAAACAAATGCTATTGGTTAATGTTTACAAATCTAAAACCAAGGACTCATATTTTTTCAATTGTGAATGAAACAACAGATATTAATGGTGACTACATAGCTAATCTTTTAATAGGTGCGTTAAGTAGTGAAACTCTTGTAATCCCTTTTTAATCGTTTGTAAAAAATCAGAAAAAACAAATCATTCTACTATCGCACGTTTTGTCGATGATAGCCACGGACTAAGATAATATGAAGTTCATACTATGAACTGGAAACGAACACCTAATCACGGGACCGCTTAAAGTTATGAGTAGGTTTGTGCGGGGTGAAATGGGGCAAGTACGATTCGCGCTCTATCTATGTTTATATATGAGAACCATAAATAAATCGCGTATTTTTGTTATGCATGTGTACTTATTACCCTACCTTTTAAAAATCCAGAATCTATTTTCTCTCAAAACCATTTTACGACATCAAAAATGTATTACATAAATTTTAAATAACATTAAATAATAGGAATAATTAGTAGTTCAATCCTAGTCCGTGGTAGCGCTACATTCGCACTTGCCCCATTTTCCCCCGCACAAGTCTACTCCATTCCATAAGCGGCCCGGCTCCACGTCACCCGCTCGTCTGTTCGTTTCCAGTCTACACTATCTTAGTCCGTGATGATGGCTTAAGAATTTTGTGGCCAAGTGGTTTTAATGACTAAAAAGTGTTGCTGTTATTATCAGATGCAGCCCCATATATGATAAAAGCAGGTAAAACACTAAAAGTATTTTTCCCCAACATGATACATGTCACATGCCTAGCGCTTATGTTTCAAAGAATAGCTGAAAAAATGAGAGGGTTATTTCCAAATGTTAATGCACTGGTAAATAATTTTAAAAAAGTGTTCTTAAAAGCTCCTCATCGTGTAGAAGTTTACAAAGATATCTTGCCAAATGTAGCCTTACCACCAGAACCTAAACTCACCAGGTAGGATACTTGGATTGAAGCAGTCACCTTTTGTGCTGATAATTTTGTACAGCTTAAAATAATAATCATTGAAAAATTGAAAGTAAAAAATGTGAAGATATGCTTAAGTTACAGTTAGAGTCTGTTAAAACTGATCTTATATATATTAAAACTAACATTTTTATATTTGTTAAAAGCATTCAAAAATTAGAGTCATCTAATTTATCTTTGTATGAAGCGACAAAAATTGTTGATGAAACTATTTTAAACATGGAAATGGTATCTGGAAATAATGGAAGAATTATTAAAGAGAAAGTTTCTGATTTAATACACAAAAATGGTGGTTTTCAAATATTGAAGGAGATATCAGATGTTTTATCCGGAAAAAAAGAAAGTTTCTTACCCCCAAATTTCACACCCATGATGAGTACTTGTACGAAATTTGCACCTACAACTTCTGTGGACGTTGAACAGTCCTTTAATACTTATAAAATGATATTAATTGAAAAAAGAACCAATATTACCTCACAAAATATGGAAATGTATATTGTAATTAATTAATTTGATGTTGAAAAGTACAACAATCATATTTAATTATTATTTGTTTAAACTGTTTTAAAAACATTTAAATATATAATGATGTTTTTTTTTTATATTTAATATTTTGTTTAATTAATTTGATGTTGAAAAGTACCTACAACAATCATATTTTATTATTATTTGTTTAAGCTGTTTTAAAAACATTTAAATATGTAATGATGTTTTTTTTTATATTTAATATTTTGTTTAATTAATTTGATGCTGAAGGTCCAACAATCTTATTTTATTAATTTTATTATTATTTGTTGAAACTGTTTTAAAAAAATATAATGATGTTTTTTTTATATTAAAATATTTTTTGTTTTAATTTGATGTAGAAGGTCCAACATCTTTATTTTATAAAAAATATTTATTATTTATTTCTATTTTACTGTTTTAAAAAAATATAATGATGTTTTTTTATATATTTAAATATTTTGTTGATTTAATTTGATGTTGAAAGGTCCAACACTCCTTATTTTGTTATATTGTTATGTTATCATTTAAAATGTTTGTAGTTTTTTAAAGTTTTATAAATTCATGATGCAATATTTGAGCATATTTTTCAATTATTTCAATTATTTGTGTATATTAATGCATATTTCGACCCTTTTGCTTTGCATATTTGCATCTTATTTGCCACATTTTTAGTGCATATAATTCCGGTCTCTAGTTATAACTAATAACTAATAACCACTTAACAGACTTAATTTATTATTTATTCTAAATATTAATATAAGTGTTTCAATGTTTGATATAATGATATTATTCAAAATATATAAATAGATATAGTTGTTATTTGCTCTAATAGTTTTGATTTAATAATTATAAGTTATAACTAGGTGAACAAATACAATTTATTTCATGAAAATCTAGTTACTAGAAGAACACAAATTGGTTGTAGTTTTGTCTCATTTATGGAAAACTATTGAGAATTGGAAAATTACTTCTCTAGTTTCAAATAAAATACTTATCCGAACAACAAATATTGAAAAATAGTCTTAAGCTGCCATTATTGGTATGAAACTGATTTTTTTTATTTTTGATTTAATAGCTGAAGAGTATAATATACTATCCTATGCTGAGAGATGAGGGAATAAGGATTTTTTTAAACTTTAATAAGTTAGCATGAGCCTTTTTTTTCTCATCAGATTCGCTGTTATCAGTTGTTATCAAAATCGTGAACCCGTCCTAACATGGAGTAACTATGCGTCCCAACAATCTTATACCTATATTTTTAATTTGTTATCAGAAATATTTTATTTCAGTTGTAACACTGTTTAGTTTACTATATAGTTAGTAAACAAATTTATTGTTCGTATTTGATTTGACTTCGTTTGGACTCCCGTAACTTTTTGTCAACAGTTGTAACTCACCTTAATTTTTTGCTCTTCCTTATAATTTAAAACTTATTTTATTATTTTGGTTTAATTTTTTTTTTTTCGTTTAAATATTTAATTTATTTAAATATATTTAATGCTGTGGATTTAGTTGACTGAATTTACGCACGTTACTTTCTAATTTACAAATGTACATTATTGAAAAAAATGTTTAATTATGCGCGTTGATTGGACATTTTACACCAATGTATTACACATCAATTAAGTAATAATTCTGGATTTCTAACAATGTCTACTGCTACAAGGTACCATTTTAATATATTATATTTGTCAAGGCTGAGCAAGTTAACAAATTTTTTAAGCTAAGTTAATATAGACAAATTTAAGTCAAGTTTAAAGTTAAAAGTGACTTTTCTCTTTTAAACAACTCATTAAAAGTTAATTTGGAAAAAAAAGTAACTTAACTTAATGAAAAATAACTGTAAAAATCTTAACATGTAAAATTAATTAACTATCATACTTTTTCATTAAAGCTTAACAAATAACATAATATAGGTCTTAATATTTTTTTAAATGTATGTTATTGTATTACTTACAGAAGCTTCTTACATGCATCAATCAATTAACAAATTGAACACAATAAATATATTATTATATACATTTTTGTTACTTACAAGTTCTTTACTCGTAAACTATTTCATAAATTGTATAGGTATTTTAGCTGTACTTATTAGTTATTACATTATTTTAATACCTATTGAAATTGTGTATACAAAAATAATGCAAAACACTTGTGACAGTTTAAAATTTAGTGCTTATTTAGAACTTATTTAGAAAACAGAATAAAATAAGTAACAACATAAATAGTATTAGATTTTTCAGGCGATTATTATAATTTTATATATAATTTTATAATATAATTTTTAGTTCATGGAATTCATATTAGGAAAAATAAATAAATTTACTGGGTAAGTTAGAAGTCACTTTAAAAAAACAAACTTCTTTAAGTTAGAAGTTGTATATGAAAATAAAAGGTCTATAAAATAAAATCTCTTTTAGCAACTTAGTTAAGAGTAACTTAATTTTAACTTTTTAACTCGTTAATGCCCAGCCTTAATATTTATATCCTTACCTAAAAAAATGAAATGTTGTTAATTGAGAATATAAAGTTAGGTAAATTTAGTAAAAAAGTCATGATTTTTTTTTCTATTTGTATTCTCAATGATGAAAATGTAATTGTTGATTTTTTTTGAACAATTTAAATAATTAAAAAAAATTTTTACAGCTATATTCTTAATCTAATTCATTGATGTTTAAATGTTTTCAATTATTTTAAATTCACTTAGTTTCTCTATTTTGATATAGTTTTATCAAGTTTATTTACTTTTCATGATTATTAAAGAAGTTTCAAAGCATCAAACTATTACAAATTTATAAATCTGTATTATGATGTTTATTTCAGTAGTGATAATTCAGACATTGCTAGTAGAATTCAAAAAATAGCTGATAAATACGAAGAGAGTGGATCAAACGTTATAGTACGTAAAATTGTGTGTACTGAAAACATTTTAGACGATCCATACGAAAAGAAAAAACTTTCTGTAATATCCATCTCATCGTCCAGTAGTTCTTCAGATTCAAATAGTTCAGATTCTGATACTGATAATAGTTCAGGTAAAAATGATTTTAAAAAAAATATCTTATTGAAATTTATTAAAAACGATTTTATCATTTTATTACTCTAGACTTGGACGAAGAAGAGAACACTAGAGCTGAGAAGAAGTTTCTAGAACATAAACACTTTGTTGAAACAGACTTTTATACATTAAAAGAAATGTTAGTAACTTCAAAATATTACCTTAGTATTTAGAAAAATAGACACTAATAATGTAGTATAGAAAAAATAGAAAAAACCATTAAGATATAATTATGATTATTGATTAGATACTTATGATTATTGATTAGATACTTATAATAATTAAAAATCCAATCATTAGTTTCTAATTAAGAGGATGTGATACCCCCATTTATTGTCTCCGTCTTACAATTGTGTAATATAGCAAATTTTAAAGATCACAGTTAGCTCCGTTAGTTTAAAAATTAGAGTGAATTGACCCCTTATAAAATTTAAAGATAAAATTTTGCTATATTACGCACTTGTAATACGGAGACAACACATGCGTTTATCACATCCTCTTATTACTTCACCATAAAACTACCTAATAAGTATATTTGTAGTATTATTGCTATTTAAGTAATTTATTTTGCCATTCGACATTAGTAATAAAGTAGTTTGAATTATTTTATCAAGTAATAGTTTTGGTTCAGTTTTTTTTTCCACTAAAAATCATCTTATATTCCTTACCATACATTACATTTTCAAGAATTTTGATCGTCTTAAATAAAAACTAATAGAAATCAAAGTTTTCTCAGTTAAGTATATACTGTTATTAGTTTTTTGAATTACACCAAAAATATCAATTTTGTTAAATCTGGTTATGAGTAAAAATCCCTGTTTTCCTTAAAAGGATACTATCCATGCGTTGTTGTCTCTGTCTTACAAATGTATGACATACCTAATTTTCTTTCACTAGTTTGAATAGTGTGCTGTACTGCTATATGTTAGTTTTGATGTTAGAGTGAATTGATCTATCATCAAACTCTTAGGTAAGAACATAACACATATGATTAAGCATCAAAACATTTTTCGATATTTTAATTTTCAAGCAAGATATGGGTATGTGATATATCGCATATTAAAAATTCTTGTATCTCGATTTAAAGTTAAAATATTGAATAAAAGCCGACTCATAACCGCAGATAATATTCTTACCTAAAAGTTTGATAGTTGGTCAATTCAGTCTATAATATCAAAATGAACAGCACAATATTGGATCATTTGGAATTAGTGAACGAAAATTTGCCGTCGTAAGTGTGTAAGACGGGTACAATAAATGCATGGGTGGCGTCCTCTTAATTTTTTTTATAGTACAACTTAAAGTACCAACTAGAATCACTTTCCTACCAAAAAAGATGCAAAAATGAAGTGAAAAATGGAAGCATTTTTACTACCCCAAAGGTGATGACTGATGAGTGATGACAGACAAAAAATAAAAATAAAACACATTTATCGATACATTCAACTCAGAAACTAAAATTACACAATTTTGTTAATAATTAATTAAGGTAGGTAATTACGATTACAAAATAATGTAATAAATATTGTTTATTAACATTATAGCTTAGTGCATCTAAAGAACTAAGATATTGTGATAAATATACATTTCTATCTGATTTATATTTTGTATGTAGTTTTAAATTTTGTATTTGATTACATTCAGTAATCAGTGATGGACACAAGGGATCACAATTCAAAACCCCATCATCCCGCCCGTATTGCCTTTATGAAAAATACCCCTCTTTTTGATAATATCTAGTAAGGGTCTAACCTTGATTTATGGAATCGAACTTTAAAAATGTTATTTCGAACCAAACTGAACCTAGATAAATTTCAAGTCGTACTCGATTTCGACATTTTTTATCATGTACTAATTGAATCATGTTAAATTACTAAATAAACTATAATTACAATTTGCAATTATATTTTTAATTTTAGTGTTATTCTTCATGTTATAAAATAATGTAAAAGCATTGATTTTAAAATCAATGGTAAAAGTATAGAATGTCAACATATTCTTATCAACAACAATCTCGGCAGAGAAATATTCCTGTGTGCTATGTACCCATAATAGATTTTTTCCGGTTACAGTATTTATGACGAAAATAGCAATTAGAATTGTTCCTTGAATTCTAATAATCGAATTATTACTCAATAGTCATTATTAATAACACAAAAATGTCAACCTAGGAATTTGTACTGATATTTGGTCTTTTGCTATCCGAAAGTCTGGTTTTACAAATGTTTTCAAGTTCGATTTTTTTTTAAAAGTTCACTTATTATAATGAATTATTTGGGTGCACAATAAGTATAATTTTTAGCCACAGTGATAAGGACAGTGAAAGAGTTGAAGGAGCTTCACATTTGAAGCTTCTGAGTTTGAGCAAATTTGCGTTTGAGGCGTCGTCTGGGTTTCCTGGAAGACGGTTGGAGGTTGGAGTGAAGTTGAGCGATGTGGCTATTGGATGTTCGGCCATTTTGAAGTGGAGGCGAGTGCTCTTGTGGCAGCTGTTAACTTGATAGTAGCGATTTTTAGATGATGATGAAAAGACGCTTGATTTTTTTAACTTTATCAGCTATTGATGGTCCGGTTCGATTTTTTTTTGATACAAAGATCGGACCGAACGCCAAGGGTTTTGTTTGAGATTCGAATAGAAGTATAGAACCAGTTTAAACCGTATCGATTATTAACAGTATTTGATTTCGGAAAAACAATTATTATTACATTTGAGATCAACTATAAACACTTTGTATCCACCACGTACAAAATTTTGAGAAAATTATTTATAATCATCTTAAATTGTCATAATTGAAGTTACATAACTAATTCTATTTTATAATGAAAAAAAAAAGTAAAATTTCAAAACTAAATATTTTTAACAACACTCCAACTATGTAAGTATACTACTTCTAATCTTTCAAATACACAATAACTTCTTGAACTCATTTTAAAAATTGACTTTTATCATTTATGTATAACAGAAAAATTATATGTTCTTATACTTTATACTACATTCAATGTGTAGGTTGTTTAACGAAAGAATTAAAGAAGTTGATGAGAAGTTAGTCGAAGTGAGATTAGGTACAGCTAAGGAATATCGTATACCTTTACAAGAATTACAAGATCAAATGAAATCTCGACTTGAAGTAGCTACCGTATTGAGACAGTTCAAATTAACAAATCTAAAACATAAATATGAAGCGGAAGAACAAGCTATAAGACAAAACTTTGAGGTAATATAATAACTTACTTTTTTTTTTATTATTAAATCCTAATTAAATATAATCATATTATCATTCTCTTCACATAAAATCAAAAAATAACCTAATTATTTAAAAAAAAAGAAACCAGGTTTATGCTAATTTTTTTATTTCAGAATAATAAGGAAATTTTATATGATACTATAAAAGCTGATTTAGAAGAAAAAATTCAGCGATTAGAAGAGGCACGTAATGAAGTAGATATAGATGCTTCTCTTTGGTTAGGTCGTAGTTTAACACGCAGTGGACGTGGACGTGGAAGACGGCCCTATGGTCATGTACAACCCAAGCGGAAACCAGTTATTGTATCTGGACCGTGTATAGTCTACAACCTCAAAGAACATGAAATACTTGAAGATTGGACCACAATTAAAAAGTTGCTATCATCGTCAAAACGAAAAGAAAATGCTGAACAACGATATAAACCATATAATTAAAGCAAAAAGGTATTTCAGAGAGTTTCTTTGTTTGTATCGTAAGTAGGGAATTATACCAACATTTCACTTTTATGTACTGATTAAACCAGTCAACCCTTTTCATATTATGTTGTTCCTTACCTTAAACTTGAAGAAATCAAATCATTCTATATAATATAGTGTGTCCCGTAAGGATTTACCCATTGCGATATTTCCTAAAATAATAAAAAAAAGTCACAGGAACAAGAATTACAAATATTTTGATGTTTTGGTAAAAACATTAAAAAATATATATTTTTATTTGATTATTTTCAAAAAAATATGAGTTCAACATTTTGTTGAGTTCATGTTTGAAAATTTTATTTTCATTTATCTCCTGAATTTTTTAATATTTTTTCTGGTTACGAGAAAAATTGCAAATTATTTAATACCATAGTAGTATCAAACATGCGGTGCGTGTTCATACCGCTGGCGAAGTGTGGCCTGCAATTTTTCTCAAAACTTGAAAAAAATATTTTTTTTTCTTAAAAAACTTGAATTATGATATCTCCATTATTTCACGACTTAACCCAATGGGTAAATCCTCACGGGACACTGTATATGCTTGGTATCCCTGTTTATGTTGAGTTATTGACAACAATTTTTATTCTTCTTTACGTAACCAAATGCATATTAGAATGATTTAAAAAAGGGGTTTCTATTTGAATTAAAAAACTCATTACCATTTTAACTCAATTATAGATATAATTGTTTATTAAATTGTTAGTGTTGTATGATAAATTAATTGTTTTCAGTTTTAATTGAATTGAGTGATCTATGTACCAGGAATCTATTCTACCAAATTTGCCATCTGATCTTTACCATATTATACCTTTTATGTAATAAGAATATTATAATTTTCCATGTAATTCAAACTATAAAGTGTTGCATATAATTTATTGAATTAAAAGTATAATATAAATGTTTCAGTCTTTATGTATTGTTTTAGAATTGAAAAATGTATTTTTACTAATTGTAGGTGAACCATCATAAATTATTTGTCTAGTAACTGGGTACTGTGGTGTTTTGGACAATTGGTATTGATGTTGTCTTGAGTAAAGGCCTTGACTAAATGGACTAGAGTTACTGATTGGATATTTTGTTTGTATTACTCTATCTAAAAAGTTATTAAACTTTGATGATGCAACTGTACTTGGTTCCAATGATTTTGAATCATGACAATTCTAAACAACATACAGTAATACATATTTAATATTTTATATGAGAATATAAAACATTGCAATATTTACAATTAATATTTCATCAGCACCACATTCTGCAGCAACAGTAGAAGGCGACTTCTTACCACGTTCTGGAGCCATATCCAACTTGGTACCACAGACTAAAATAGGTACCTAATAAATATTATTTAAATTATTAAGAATATTAAGTTATATTTCATTTAATGTTTTTTACTAGACTAAAAAAGTATATTAATAAATAATTAACCATCTATACCTATTTATTTTCATACAAAATCAATAAAATCATGTTTGAATATAAATGATTTTAAGTTTAAGATTTCAACTCTATTGACTAATTATTTACATATTCAAAAATAATCCTTATCTAATTTAATGTTTTTTTTTACATTTACTGTAAACATTTGGTTTTTAATTAAGTTAGCTAAATGTTAATATTTTAAATTATGAGCTGTCAGACAAATGATTGCAATTAATTTAAATTGTATTTATTACTCTGTTTGACCCAACCAGTTGTTCCATATCAAATCCATCTGTACATTTATATTTTGAGTTATTATCCTTATTCAAAATTTCTGCCAACCACTTATGTAAATTTTCACTAGATTTAAGGTTAGTTAAATCATACACTAAAATTATGCCTGTTGAAAAAAAAAAATTATTATTTGAGTATCAATTAAAATAATCAGTGTTTGGAACGTCCACTATATAAATGAATTCGTTCATTCCTTTAAAAAAGAATATGTTCATATTATGTTTTTTCAAATAGTCACATTAACGTTCATTGAAAAAACGAATACTTTCACTGCGTCATTTATTTAATTTTTTTAATTTTCTTATAAAAGGAATAATAATATGAAAATATTATGACATAATATAATCAATATATTTTAAACGTATATTTATTAAATGGTAAATAAATTGAGCCTCATAAAAATAGTTCAAATTCATTAAAACATTGTTCATGTTCAATTTCAAAAATAGTGATGTTTGCATATCATTCACTTCATATGAATGACATTCTTTCCAAACACTGATAATAATATTAAAAAACTACCAGTCTATCATATCTTACCATGGATAGCATTATAAAATATATCTCTAGTATTTTTATGGTTTGAACTTCCTCCAATGTCCCACATTTCTATAAAACAATTGCGTTGTCTAGGCGTTCCTTCCATATATTTGTACAGTTTTATTTCAACTGTTACTCCAACTGTCCATTTTGGATTTTTTACGACTTTATTATTACTCATAAGATTCACCAAACATGTTTTGCCAACACCTAAATAATTTTTTTCAATACATTTCAACATATTATAAATTATTGTCATAGGTTAAATTGATCAAAAGTTAAGAGAAAAGTAATTCTCATTTATTCATTTTTGTGAATAAATAACTACATAGGTATGTGTCTTTTAAATTTGTAAGTAAACCAATACAGAGAATCTAATCAGTTTTAAATTATTTAATTTGTATTTCAATAGAGATAAATCATTATTTCATATCAATTAATTGAAAAATATATTAATTACAACTTTGGGAACGTAAACATTGTTTGTACTATTGATATAATATTATATAGCAATTAAAACAATTACCCGAATCTCCAACAACCAATACTTTAACACTGTCGGTTGAAGCCATTGAAATCTCCATTTTTTAAATATAACTCTGCCGACGACTCAATGTTGTTTAAAACGGAATATTAGAAGTACTTCATAAATTACAAACATACTGCATACTAAATACTATAGTACTATTTATTATTATTTATTATTTAACATTATATACCCTACAACGATAAGGTAAATAAAATTGATTGCAATATTGAAAAATTAGACTAAATAAAATATATACTGACACCAAAATATTGTATATTAATTGTCACAGCGCCTATTTATTATTTAGTATTTTTTACTATTGTCTATTTAATTATGTTTTGGTATTTTCCTAGTAAGTTGATAGCACGATAAAGATATTTTGGCTATCACCACTGTGATAAGAATTATGACTACAATCACAGAATATAACAATAGTGATATAAATATATAATTGTGATATTTATGCCACAAGTACATTGTTGTATAACGCCAAACGATAGACTCGGGTCGCTGACTATAATCACAGATTAAATAAAATAGTTTTATTTAATCTGAGCTATAATATGAAAAGCATGAACTAAGATTACTGATATCTGAATATCTAAGTTCATGATGAAAGTTGAAAAGTCATTATAATATAGCTATGACAAAGTTTATTTTGAATTTTCATATAGTCTGTGCTATAGCTCACTGCGTGGCGATTTTTCTATTAGCCTATATTATATTTTGTTTCTTCGCTGCTGGCTTAGTAATTAAAATTATTATTTTAATGTCTAAACTGCTGCGTCGTCCCCGTCGATGCTTATACCACGAATTGATATTTTATTATGTTCATAAAATTGTATTTATTTTTTAATATAATAACATTAGGCATTAAATACATAAGCGTTATTTCTTAAATATTATATTACTACTACAAAATGTTTTAAATTTGGCGTGAAACAGCAGCCACCGCCGAGAAACCCCCTCTACAATTTGGTGCCGCTCATGCCGTTTTACACGAACCATCACTTTACATATTTTAACCAATCAATAGTGAGCTGATGATCCCTTAAACATGATTTAGTGGCGCATGAATAGTCCATTACATTTTATTGAACTGTTAAATTAATACATTTTTCAAACAACCCGGCATTACTGTAGTACTAGTGTACTACAACTGTACCATAAACACTATTGTGTAGTAACTAGTAGAGGACAGAGTGAACTATAAAATGTTTTATAGTACTGTACCTACCTAGTCACCACAGTCAAGAGGATGCAACAGCAAAAAAAAGCCCATGCAACGCTCAAGAGATGCCGGTATATCTTTATATTATAATCATGATAGTCACTTATCTGTAATCTGTACACGGAACAGAAAATAGAAATACAGAATAGATTAAATTTAATGTATTCTGAGGTCTGTATTGAATAACCTAATAATTAATATATTTCCATTATTTTTTCGTTCTAAGGCTATAACTACATATTTATATTGTATCCCCATATGGCCATGTTGACTTGTTTAAAATTGCAATTGTACCAATGGGTTATATGACGCAGTATATTTTCCAACAATTAATGGAGACTAAATTAATGTTTTAATACATTTATGTTTATTGGAGCAACTATTATTTGGAATAAATATTAGTTAGAACAATCAATTATTTTAAGGGTATAAAAATAATTTGGAATAATATTACTGAGATTATTTAACCCGAATTAGTTTGCCTCAAATCAAAACGAAACCCTTTCAGATTGGTTATAGAAACAAGACGTTAAAATTTCATATTTCTGTAACAAGGACGTCATTTTGGGGGGAGTGGGTGCAGGGTGTACATTTGCACCAAATTTTTTCAATTACATTCTCGCCAATATTATAATTTATCGATAACCAAAAATAATATAGTAACAAAAACAATATTATCCATGGCAAAATAGATTTATTTTGTCATGATATTATTTGTACGGATAATTGTGTGGCGGACCTCTCTCGGTAATAGCCGAAAGTGCATAGATTTGCCAGTCTGGGCCATAATGCAATATCAAAAATGTTGACCCAGAAACGTCTTGATGAATAGCTTCTCAGCTTGTAGCACAGAACAATAATAATATAGTAATTATGCTTCTAGACTGTAGTCCAGCAAGAAAATCCGCTGTTTTACCCATAAATTTACTTCGAGGCTGAGCAGCTCCCTCCAAAATATCCAGTCATCGCCTGTAGGTTATTGGGACTTTATTAGGGGGTATTCTAATTTTTTTGAAATAGGCTGCTACCCATATGGCTTTGTCTCCGTCTTACAAAGGCACAAATGCATAATATCTAGCAACGTTCTTAATAATCAATTTAACTGCAATGTTGAATGTTCAAGTTAGATTCTAATTATATTAGCTATTATGATTAACCTATTGTTACCAAATTTTTAAGTAAGAATATTATCTAGTTAATCTCTATAGGTATTTTTTATATTTTTAATTTAAATTTAAAAAAAAATACTTATGAGATTTTCTGGATGATAACATTCTGACTTCTAAATTCGGTAATACCTAGTTCAATTTACTCCAATAATTATAGAGGTAAATGGATTATTCGGAAGTTTGGGAACATACAATTTGGTATGTTATGCACGCACACGAATGTAAAAAATAAATATCGAAAATAAATAGGTATAGATATTAGATTGTAAACGGAGCTATGAATGTACTGATTTTATAATGATGTGTGTAATTTTATTTTTGTTTTTTTTTTTGTTTTCAGTGTACATCGTAAATAGCTTCAATTTTCAACTTCAGTATTTCAGTAACTTTCCGGTGGAAAAGTGAATCTAATTTGTGTATTCGAGATGTCAAAATTTAAAATTTCCGGTAATTTTAAAAAGCGTTAGGAAAAACTTTCCCCAAATTTTTATTCAAAACTAGTTTTTGAAAAACTCGATTTAGTTTGTTTGGTGAAACTCAAAAACTAATAACCGTAGATACTTAAAATATTCATCAAATATTTGTATGACAATATCATCCATTCATTTTTTTTTTAAATTTTCAAATAACATATTTTGACTCTCTGAGCTATCTATAAGAGTATAAGCTGAAGCGTGTCCAGGATAAAAATTCAAGGCAGGCCCTGCTAATAGAAAAATTTGTACAATTAACACATTTTATTAAGGACATTTTTAATAATAAAGTATTAAAGATTAACAATCTTATGATAAACACAAGTAAAGTATAACAAAATATTATAGATGGATCATTAACACACGGCCCAATATATATATATATATATGAGGGGTACGTACTACGTACCTACGCAGTAGAGGCAACACCAATTCGCTGATGTATTCACATTTCACATTTAGATTTCAATGTTCAGTGTGTTAATAGAAAAAATAAGTAATTCCTTGTTTTTTTATTTAAAAATCCATATTTTGGATATACTATAAATATAAGGGTTCAAAATCAAATTAGGCCCCGACGGCGGTCTACTTGGGCATCACTGCACCAGGCCTGCCCGCTGGATACACCCACAGATATATAAACACATATGTTGTATGTTTATATATCTGTGGATACACCTTATTGTTTATTGATAAAAGACGTATAAGACAATTTTGATTTCGATTAGCTTATAGCTTTAACTATTGTCGCTCAACATAATAATATTTTGATCAGTCAAAATACTTAAAAAAACAAAAAGTTAAAGTAGGTAAGTTGTTGTAAGGTTGAGTGTAACTTCACAATATTTTTTTAGGAGAGTCTGAAGTTGAAATAATTATAAAATTCGTCTAAATCCCCAAAGTGTATAAACTAATTTAAGTTAAAAATTCATAAAAATTTTATTACAATATAAGGTTTGAACATTTTTGAATTCTTCATAAGTTTTTCTGTTTTTAACAAAAAATAAAAGTTTACCAAAAATTAATATTTAATCAAATTTGTTCCACAGCATAATTATTATTTTTTAAACCAAAACACATTTGTGATATACTGATAAAGATATTTTTTGAATAACGTATTATTTGTTCCCCCGGTATTTCAATTCCATTATTCCCATACAAAAATATTTTTATTATTTTCAGTAATCACTAAATCCACAAAAAATTTAATCCAAGTCATTTTTAGTTTTTTACCAGTTTATTTAGGCCACAGATATTATATTATACAATAATAATAATATGTATATACAATATGTGATTTATCCATGTTTTTGAGTAAACTTTTTTGGAATAAATTAAAATGTCTCGTGGCTGATGTCTCGGCCATGATTAATAAATGTTTTATTAATTACAATCCCGACTAAATTTAATCGGTAAACGGTGGAAATTCATGTTTTTCTATGGCTCTGTAATAATTATTATATAGTGGTTATGCTATATGCCACCTTTTTGCGACTCATTTATCAATATCAACAATGATAAAATCAACGCGGTCAATTTTATATTCACAATGATAAATGAATTGCAAAAAGGCGCTTAAGGCGGAGTTGCATACCCATTATTCTGTGCTATTATCTATAGTTTGTTCAATAGTTTTCCTAAGTTTAATAATTAGGTATTAAAATGTTAAAATAATATTTTTGTTGTATGATGATAATCGGCAGGCAGGTCGAGTTGTGGTCGTGAACGTCCTCGAGGTTTGTTCAACACGTGGAAATGTCCGGTCCATCGAGACATCAGCGTACGTCACATTTTATCATGCTCATAACCGTTGGCTACACCGCACGCGTTCCCACCCACCCACTACGAATCGTCTCCCTCGTGGATGGCAGGCCGCTTCCTATGAAATAAACAAATACGAATTCTTTTACGCACCGCCACCACGGACCGCAACACATAGAACCACGAGTTCATTTGCGTGCCGGCCATTTAGTGAGGGATTCCGTCGCGAGACACGCTGCCTGCTGGTACATTTTTTTAAAATTCGAATTATAGCACACGATATCGAAATGAGTGCTGAAACCGTTAACGCGTTGGTGTTCGACTATTTGAACTCATTGGATCAGAACCTTGCAACCATGTTCCAGACCAAGACCAAAGCCGTGAGTATATTACGTTTATTATGGAAACCACGTGTGTGCTAACTAGTACCCTTTTTTCGCCAACTAGCCGACTACCCATGATGTCTTACCTCATGTTAACACCCGGCATCCGAGTTAAAGCCATCCTTTTCGTTCTGTTGCGTAGGTATTTGGGCTGGATAAAATTAAAATGATTTTAATAGAGTATTTTTTATATTGAATGTTTTTTTTTTTAATTTTTATTTTTTACACGTGGTATCCAAAATTATCGAGCTGATGATATTATTTCATAGTTAGATCCTGAATATTTTATAATATTATTTGTGAATACACCTGTATTATGTTTTGAACCGGCGTTAACCTTGAACTTCTTACTAATTCACATAGTTATTGGATCATTCACCCATGGTTGTCAGATATATATTTTGTGTAGTAGTAGTAACTAATAAGCAATTACATTGTTGTGTTTTTACCGTGATGTATGTTTCAAATGTTGGAACTTATATTAACTACCTATTGAAGAAAAATGGTGCAATCAGAATTTGTTAGCCGGACAGTCTAGTGGTGTGCATATTCCCGAGAATATAATTATTTTTTAAAATATTTATCAATGTTTCAGTATAATTAAACTTGGTTGTAAATTTTCCAAATTACAATTAATTTATATCCCTATATATAACTGCCTTCAAGAGAATAAACTTGACTTCAATTAAAATAACACTAGTAAATAGTTGCTCCCTCCGCCAGTAATTGCCTACCAACTCTGGTCACAAATTTCTGATAGATGTATTTCAATGTAGCGTAGCTCTCACGCATGTAAAACACAAAATTGCCGACTCCGAAAACTAAGTCCCGACGGTTAAATTCTGATTACACCATTGTTCTTAAATAGTTAATATAAAAATGTTCCAACTTATAAAAATTGATAAATTTGCATAGAATGGTTAAGTGTATTTCAGCCGAAATGTTTTAATATATTTCTCACAATTTTCTTGGTTTTAATTTTTGGTTGTATTATTAGTAGGTACTTAGTAGTTAGTACTATAAAATGGAAATAAGTTCTAATTGTTTTGTTTTTATATAAAATTTTAGTCAAAACTGCAGAGGGGACAAACTAAATTAACCCAGCTAATTGATGACCATTTGAAGTATGTATTATCAATCTTATCTTAAGTTGTTAAAATAATCTGTTAATATAGTTAATTAAAATTTTAAAAATATTTTCAGGACTTCTAAAAAGACAATTAAATTACAGAAAAAAGGACCTTGTAAGTTAAAAAATTGTATTTATACTTAATATTAACTTATCAAAACTTTTCCGATCTCGTGCATTCCCATCACCAAACCTGCCGGTTAAAGTGGTAGAGTGGGAAAAATTTGTGTACGACAACTCTAAGTTTGGTTATTTGGATGCGCAAACGAGTAGCGCCCTCTCAGTGGCACGAGCATAGTCATTGGTGACTACAAAATCTATAGTCGAGTGAATGAAAAGTGGCCGCTGGCAATATGATAGGAACCTCTTTTTTTTCGATAAGCCGTAGGTTCTCAAAGTGGATCACGTAAAGATATGTAATTGCTTTATGATTAATAATTCAAAATGCGCCCGCTTTTTCCCATAATTTTGCGGTACAATGATAAAAATTCACCACTGGGCGCGTGGGCATCAGCGGCCACTTTTCATTCACCCGACTATAGTATATAACCATAATAGGCTCTTATAAATATAATAAAGTACTTATAAAATGTGCCTCCCCCCCATCAATTGATATGAATTGTGTCCTGCTGCATTTTACTGCTATTACTTGCAGTGCCCTGTAATTTGTTTTTTCATTGCAATATAAAAAATGTCAACTTATTAATTAATCAAAATCCTTAGTAAAACAAAATTCCAAACATTGTTTCAAAGTGTATTTTTATCAATCAGAATTAAATCCTAAAATAATTATTCACCCGTTTATACCAATATTGATCTGTTCCTTTGCCCTTTGCAATATTTAATCGATATCCCATTTATCTCATCTGAATTTTGACATACTGGGAGTGGCATAAACAATTCTTGTTCAGAAAAATTGTTGGTTTACACAACTAATACATCATACTTCCAAAAATAAATCTTTTGGAGTTATGTCGAGTAGGTAATAATTTGTTAATGCACTGGTTTTTAGCCTTTTCTGCATTTGGGCACTTTAACAACATGGCCACAAACTCCCTCCAAACAAAAACATCATTTTTTAGTATTATTATATGTTAAAAAAAGTATTACAACAAGTATGTGATGATAATTAATTGGTCTTATTCACTTATTGAATACACCTTAACATCAATAATAATATAATAAAGTATTCTCCTTAGACCACTGAGTAATTATCTATAGATCCTAAGGATCCATTTTCCACCAGTTAAAATGAGGTTAACTGTGATATCAGTCGGATATTATGAGGGTTACTTATGAGAGACACATTGCACAACTATGCAATGCGGAAAACAACAGATACAATTAATGAAAGTATAATTTTTTAGATTTATAGTTTTGATTAGAAAACTCATTAAAACCAATATTAGTTTTGTTTTACACCCTAAACTGATGTACTATTATAACTACATTTAAATATTACTACATTTAAAATGTAAATATCTTTCAAAGTCGAATTACCGCGCGTATATTGGAAAAACAGAAAGAGCATTGTTCAGCTCTCCACGTAGTTTCTGGAAATATGTACGTGATTTTAAACAGCATCCTGAAATTCCAATTTCAGTACACTTTGGCGATAATTCATCAAACAATCCTTCTGAATCTGCTAACCTTTTCTCAGACTATTTTAAATCAGTCTTCTGTTCTTCTACCCCAAACCAATCCCAATTACACAGCTCTAGTAGGCTGCCATTTGATCTCCCTTCAGATATCAACTTCTCACCAGAGGATATTCTTTCAATACTATCTACATTGTGCAATAAAACCTCCACAGGTCTGGATGCAATCCCGGCCCCTTTTCTTTTCAACTGTCGTTTGACTATCTATATTCCGTTGTTCCTTTTGTTTAGAAAGTTTCTAGATGAATGCACTTTCCCTGAAATCTTGAAAATCTGTTCTATAACCCCTGTTTTGAAATCTGGTGATGCTTCAGACGTCACTAATTACAGACCAATATCAATAATCTCACATATTGCCAAGGTATTTGAATCTGTCGTTTATCATTGCATTAAGCGTAGCCTTAATCATGTATTGATTGATGAGCAGCATGGTTTCAGGCCAGGTAAATCTACCTGCACAAATGCTGTCTCCTTCCTATCGTACATTATTGATAATATTGAATCTGGTTCTCAAATAGACGTTATAATCACTGATTTTAAAAAGGCATTCGATACGGTCAACCACGAGCTGCTTATTTACGAATTAGAACGTCTAGGCCTTGGATATCCGTTGCTTGGATGGTTCAAATCTTACATTACAGGTAGAAAACAATTCGTGAAAGTGGCTGGGGTATCATCCTGCGTAATCGACATTCCATCAGGTGTTCCTCAAGGGGGGCACTTAAGTCCTCTGCTGTTCTCTCTTTTTATAAATTCTCTGTCCCAACACCTTAACAGGGCCAAGTGTCTTCTCTTTGCTGATGACATCAAACTATTTTTAAAAATTGACTCTGCGGCTGACCAGGCTGTTCTACAGAGTGAGCTTAATTTGTTTTCTACCTGGGTAGATCGTCTTGGACTGGTACTCAATCTTGACAAATGTCATTCAATTACCTTCACTAAATCACGTTCATCTACCAATAGAACATACTCCATCAATGGCTTTCCACTTAAACAAGTACTCCAAATTAAAGACCTCGGTATCCTCTATACGTCTTCTCTTTCATTTAACCAACATATTGATTCCATAGTAGCACGTGCTCTTAAGGTTCTCGGATTTATTAAACGCAACACAAAACATTTCACATCAGTAAACTGTCTTCGTTCCCTCTACTGTACATTAGTGCGATCAATTCTCGAGTATGGAGTTGTGGTATGGCACCCATACCTTGCACAACACCAGCATAAGCTAGAGCAAGTACAAAATCGATTCCTAAGCTACTTAGCATTTGTGACTAAAACTGATGTGTCCCCTCATGACTATGTTCAATTACGTAATATGTTTAATATCCCTTCTCTCTCTTCTCGCTGCACCGATATAGATGTACACTTTTTAACTTCCCTTCTAAATGGTACCCTCGACGCACCTAATTTACTTGCTGTAATTCCATTCAAAGTTCCTACCCGTGGAACACGAAACCTAGACCAGTTTTATATTCCCCACCACTCTACTGCCTATGGTTACAATCATCCACTTCATAGAATGCTCAGAGTCGCTAACCTAAATGTGCCCTAGTTGTTTTTACTGCGTTCTAAGGCTGCTTTTGTTATTTTGTACGCTCTAGTTGTTGCTATAGAGTTCTTACACTTTATCAATGTTAATTTTTAATTTTTAATTTAATTGTTATTACCTACATAATATGTACTATTGTTAACTGCCGATCGGCGTAAAATATATATATAAATATAAATAAATAAATATAAATATAAATAAGCGAGTAAATAAATATTCTTTATTTGATTGATTGTTGACTTAAAATTCGTGAAAATATAATTCATTGCATTTAAATTTGTTACAATGAGTACCAACTTTTTGCATAAAGATTCATTTATAGTTTTTAATTTATAAAGAAAAATTAAGAAAGGACATAACAGCTCTGCTTTACAGTAGTAGTCTAGTTTACGAGTACCTTATTATTGTGGTGGGCACTGTAATGGATGTGTTATGGTTAGGATAGGTGCTCATAATGGAGACCTTGAATAAACGTTTTATTGGCATATTTATAAGTTTTTAGCTTTATTAAAGGAGGCGCATACAACAGAAAAAAAAGTTTTCTTATTATTAAATGCTAATTTATTGTAGTTCTAACTACTGAAAACAATTTTGTCCAAGTCCAATCCATAAAACAATATATATGGAAATTAAAATATCTGTGTGATGTCGCTGGGGCGAGCTTGGCATAATCACCTTTCTTGAGCTTGTAAAAGTTGCTCGCTTTACACAATGAATTACTAATCTGAACATTTTATTTTTGATGTATGTAGAAATATGTGTAATATTTTTGTGCTAAATATGGTAGAAGAATTATAATTTCAAAATAATGAGTTTTTTAAAGTTTCTTAAAGAGATTTTTTTGTTACGTATATATGTTGTAGTTTATCAAACTGTTATAATCCACATTTGAAATATTTCCAAAAATTAAACTCAAGTAAAATTCTGGTTCCAATAAAGTTTTTATAAACAACACATGTACAACAAAAATTAGGAAAAAAACTTAATTATTGTGTGAGACGAGTAACATTTACTCTTAAAAGGTAGGCAATCATCCCAAGTGTCCCAGTCCAATGACGCCACACATCTTATTTCAGTTAATCATAACTCAAAGAATATTGTTCGTAGAATAGAACTTTTTTCAAATTAAAATTTGTGTATTGTGCTCCTTTAAATGTTAATGGCAGATTTTATATGAAATGATATGATATATTATAAAAAAACAAAATACATGAGGGTTATTCAACCATCTCTAATTAAAACTGATAGAACAACCAGCTTTTGGTATGTTGACCTATCTTGGTAACAATTTTGACCATAATTATTGAAGTATAGTTTTATTGTAACAAATAATTTAAAGTATATGCATGTCTTGGTTAGTGAATTATTAAATCTGATGATCATTAAGTTGACTCAAATTTTAATTTTTTAATTTATTTATTTAGCTGTTGATCAAATAATTAAATTGAGTAATGGTAAAGCAGCTGCCGTCGCCGATGAAGAATCTGAAGAAGATAGTTCTGATGAAGAAGTTGTTGCACCTAAACCAAAAATTAATGAAAAGAAAGGCAAAGTAGTAGAAAAAAAAGAAGAAAGTTCCGAAGAAGATAGTTCAGATGACGATGATGAACCACCAGTAAAGAAAGGTATCTATAATATACATCATTTATCTAAAGTATCTTAGACCTTGAATAGATATTTAATGTAAATAGAATAGTTTGTGAATACTGATCTACCCTATTTTAATTTCCTTTATGTTGTCATTTGAATAAATGTTTAAATGTAATTCATACAGACTTAAGTCCACCTATATATCTTAAATAATATTTTGTATGTAAATATAACAAATTAACAATGGTTGTCTATAAATAAATAATTGTTTTATAGCATGTATTGCTCCTGCTAAGAAGCCGGCTGCTAAGAAAGAATCTAGTTCGGAAGAAGAGAGCTCAGAAGAAGAGACTCCTGCTCCCAAAAAACCTGTTACTAAACCAGTTGTAATGCCAGCTGTAGCAAAGAAAACTGCTGCAGAAGAATCATCAGAAGATAGCTCTGAAGAAGAAAGTTCCGAAGAAGAAAAGCCTTCCGTCAAGAAAGTCCCTCAGGTACCTGTCAAAAAAGCCAAAGAAGAAAGTTCAGAAGAAGAAAGTTCTGATGAGGAGGAAACTGTAGTTAAAGCTCCAGCTAAAGGTAGAACATTTTTAATCTAATTATTTACTGAAGTTCCTTGTATTACAACCTATTTGAAAAATTTATTTAAACCAAATTTTCTAAACTAACTACATTCTTCCCAACTTAATGTCCAGAGAATTTATATTAAAGAAAAACATTAAACACATTTTATTTATTACATATTAAGTTTTTTAAGGGTACAACAATATGATTTTGATAATTTTTCAGTAGTAGCTGCTAAGAATGGAAAGAAAGAGTCTAGTTCTGAAGAAGAAAGTTCTGACGAAGAAGATGCACCTGCAGTTAAAAAACCAATTGTGCAAAAACCTCAAGAATCTAGTTCTGAAGAAGAAAGTTCAGATGAAGAGGAAACTGTAGTTAAAACTCCTGCAAAAGGTTTGTTTTTAAAGTATTCCATTTTATAGCTATTTCTTATTTGGTTTTTCTTTTTAGCCCCTGTTTCTGCAAAGAAAGCCAAAAAAGAATCGAGTTCCGAAGATGAAAGTTCAGAAGAAGAAACCCCAGCTACAACCAAACCATTGAAAAAAAGTAAATTTTGCAAAAATTTTCCATTCTTGGATGCGATTATTAACTTATTATTTGTTGTATTTCAGCTGTAACTAAACCGGTTGTTGCTAAAGAAGAAAGTGAAGAAGAATCTGATGATGATGATGATGATGATGACGAAGAAGAAGAAGTTACTAAGACTCCAAATAGTCAGGTAAAAACCCATGATCTGGTTACAATTCACTAGGACAATGCATATACTTTCTTTTTTACTTAAAAATTGTGCTTTGTGTTTTATTTAGATCAAAAATCAGCCGTTTGTTAAAGCAGCAAATGGAGATGTAAGTAAATCTTAATTTTTTCTATATATTAACTATTTTGGAAGAACTCTAAAAGATAAGAGATAGGGTTGGGCTAGATACAACTTGATACTACTACATACCACGCTCAATAAAATATTGGTTGCAATGTATTTTATTTGAAAATTAAACAATGATTTTAGAATAAATTATTAATGGGAAACATGGAACAATTTGATACTAGTAACAAATCTTTTGATACTACTGGTAACAACTCTTTTGGTTCTGATAATAAGAAAAAACAGCAAAATAGACGATCAGATCCTTATAGACGTGTCCGTGATGATAATGTCAGTGTTGATGGACGTCTTTTGGATAATTCACTAAAAGCAAAGGTAAGGTTAGCCTTGATTTTTGTGGCTAACCAAACTGGCGCATGAAAATAAAATTTATATATATTAAATAACTTTAATGAATAGTGGTTTTTGATTAAAATTCTTCCAAAATAGTAAAATATGCTGTTTTTTGTAATTGATATTTTTCATGCTCAGTTTGGATTGGTTCACTAATTAATATTACTCCCATATAGGATGAAAATGGTTCCGGCAACAAATGGGGTGAAGACCGACAGGGAGGTTTCAGAGGTGGTAGAGGCAATAGAGGCACTCGAGGAGGATTTGGATTCCGAGGTGGTCGTGGTGGCCGTGGGGGTTTCAACCGTGATGATGATGATCAAAATGGAGGAGGAAGAGGTGGTTTTGGTCGTGGTGGTGGCGGGGGCCGTGGAGGTGGTTTTAAGCGTAAATTTGATGACTCCGGTGATGGAGAAGGTGAAGGCGGTGGTTTCAGAAAGAGCTTTGGAAGTGGTGATGAAAATGGTGGAGAACGCCGTAGTTTTGGAGACAAAAGAGGATTTGGTGGTAATAGGTTCAGTGGTGGTGAACGAGGAGGATTTGGAGGTCGTGGTGGTGGAGATAGAGGTAGAGGAGGATTTGGTGGACGTGGCGGTGGTGGAAGAGGCTTCGGCGGTCGTGGTGGTGGAGACCGTGGCAGGGGCGGTCGTGGAGGTTGTGACCGAGGTGGACGTGGTGGAGGTGGAGACAGATATTTCAATAAAAGTTTTGACTCAAATAATTCAACACCTCAAAACAAAAAAATTAAATTTGATGATTGAGTAAGTTTTGATAATTATTATACTTCAGAGTATAATTTGTTCCTTGAAAATTCACTTTATACCAGTTGTCCAGTTATGTTTGCCAAACAATGTTTACATGGTAAACTAATAATTTTGTATTTGCAGAAAGGTCAATATGAAAATTGGGGTAAGAAAGCTGCTCTAGACTTACAATACACTAAAGGAAAATCATTTAGACATGAAAAAACAAAAAAAAAACGTGGCTCTTATCGAGGTGGACAAATTGATGTAGGTGTTAATTCCATTAAATTTGACGATTAATATAATCGTTTTCAACCGTAACTTTTTATTTTTTCAACATTATTATTGTTTTTGAAACAATTCCTATCATTATTACAATTTCATTTTTTAACTTAATATAAACAAGAGTTTGTAATTGCATTTCTCAATATCTTTTATTAATAAAACTAGATTCGTGTATTTTAAGTTTAGAAGTAAGATTTGTATATAATTAATTTTAAGTGACTGTAATTAAAAAAGTTATGTATTCATTTTTTAATTAAGATATAATTTTAATTATTATTAATTACCTCATTTGAAAAAATTTAATGTATGTTGAAAAATATATTTTTTTGATAAAATATAAATGGTACCATTAATTAACTGTTAGTGATTTTTAAATAGAAATTAATAAAATAGAATCTTCCCAGTTTCTAACCTAGATACTCCAAAGTACACCTCCATATTTGTTACTTCCTCTCATCTCCGAGTAATGTTTTTGTGTTCTGTTGTCATTATTTTAAAATTATATACTTAGCACATCCTAAAATTAAAATTAGTCGTAGTTTAAAAGTTTGTTGGTGGATGAAACAAACCTCACAAATACATGTGTCCTCTTTAAGTAATCATCAATAGCTTGTAATGAATGTTGAACTAGTTCATGAATTTTCAATTTGTTACTCATGTATAATTTATAGTTTAAGAGTAATGGCATTTTTTATGCAAAGCGGATTACAATATGAGTAACTTACTAGTGTGCATAGGTGGTGGCTACTTGTCTGTGGAATTGTGATATCCCTATCAACTTATTTTCGTTTGTGTACACCTCGGTGTTGGGAAAGTTCCTTTTAAAAAGGAACTAGTTCCCGTTCCTCGTTCCTGTCATGAAAAAAAAACGCATTTCCGTTCCTTAACACATTTCTTACGATTTAAGTGGTGGTCAATATTGTTTTTTGCGTACAGTTTTTAAGTCTGACTTAAAAATTTTTCCCAAAAAACACTACCACTCAAATCGGTCAACTCACTTCTTCCTAAGGAGCACCGATTTTTAACAAAAATGATTTGTCTTAGGTTTATATGTTATAATTCAAAAGTTGTATATCGTAGACTTGAAACTTTTCCCAGTAAAAAGTTTATTATATTGACTAAAAATGCACTCCTTCACTCAGAATTGCACTAACCTAACCCATGGCGCGTGAAACTGGCGTCTACACGTAGTCAGCCGACGGCGTCGCGGCTCAGTTTTGGCGCGGAAACACACTATAGTATACGCTTCATAAATACTATGGCACTCGACGTGTTAAAAATAACTATTTTTTTTCATTATTTGAGAAGCGGAAATTTTCTTTCAAGTTCCTTAAAAATAGGAACTCTTTCCCGTTCCTCGTTCCTATATTTTAAATAGAACGCGTTCCGAGCTTCGTTTCTATAAAAGGAACGTGTTCCTTCCCAACTGGTACACCTATAGATTTAAACATGCATAATGCACGAGCCCTAAGAGTAGAACAACAACAATGCGTTTTATAAATTAGTATGTGTTGCTTTTTATTCGATCCCCTCACTAATAATAGTTATTTTATCTTATGTACCTAAAAACAATTAATTATTCAAAAGACGTTAACATATGCTAGAAAAAAATGTTTTGTTAAGAAAAGTGAATCTGTAATAATTTGTAATTTGTCAAAGGTTCTAAAAGCTACTTTACTACTTTAAGCTCAAAAGTTTGAAATTGCATGACTACAATACTTCGTAATAATTATGCGTATTTGTAAGTCGCTTATTATCAGTAAGTAAAAATAAGTAAACATATACGTAATCGATATAATATTTGCACTGGTACCTTATGATTGATGGGTTTCCCTATTTCGTTTACTCGTTAGACCTAACTTAACCGAAATGATATTATAATAATATCATTTCGGTTGATTTGCAAATTATTTTAATTACCTTTTCAGGGGAGTACTTGGGAATTTTCAGAGGTGGGGGGGGAGGGTCCAAATTTTGTAACATGTTAAAATATTATACAATCAGTGTTTACACCTTATACATTATAAATTCTGTCAATCCATGGGAGGTGCCCGAGACCCATTATTATTAATGTATTAAAGTTTTTCGAAAATGATGTATTCTTAATTTGATTGTAAAGTAACTTGCACTTTGGTCATCTTTTTTTGCATACCTACTTGATTCGTAATATGCTTCTCCTTTTCTTTGTTATCTATTAATTCATTTTTTTTCCTTTCATTTAAATATCGAAATCTAATACATAAAAAAAAAGAACCGATCCGCCCACACCCCTAGCTATGGTGCAAGCTTGCACTATAAGCAAAATAATCCTATAACAACATAATGCGTCGTGCACAACGGCTATTTGACATGTGGGTCAAAGGACTTTGAGAGACCACTGGCAAAGGCTGTCACTGGGTCATATATGGGTTAGATCGCCGCCCTAATGTCGTTTGTTATAAATTGTGAACTGCTAGTACTTACAATCAATACAAAAATATATACATCCAATAGCCAATAGGTATCTAAAATTGGGTTAGTGAGCAGTGGCTACTGCAGGTGTTGAGTTAATATAATAATGTACTTAAAAGATCGCAATTGAACAATTCCATTAGTGTCCCGCAGTCAGGAATTTTCTCGTTACCTGCTGTAATGGCACTATCTATGTGAAGTGATTTGAACTTATTAAAAAAAAAAATCAAAAATACACTGTTTTTTATACATGCAACCACGAAAAAAATGATTTTATTTATTTTGTTATACGTGAAACCACGATCACATCAGCAGATTCAGACTATGACAGTTTTTCAGTGTAAAAGCCTCTTGCGATTGAATGGCAGTACCTAACCGTCCTAACATTACTTTACTATTTTATTATCCTAAATCGTGGTTAACACCGAAGCAAACAAAATAATTTCTTTTTTTGTCGATAATATGGTTGAATGTTCCCGCTCATCCACTGACCGCAATGGTTCTCAAAATTATGCGTAATCTATAATCAATATAGATTGCAGGTTATGGGTAATTTGGTGTTTTTTGTTTACCTATAAATTGTTGATAAAATTCTTAATCGACGACACAATAAATGATACCTGTAATGTTTTAGGTATAACAAAAATTAAAAATTCGGTAAAATTGTATTGTTTTTCGTTTGCATTTGTCCCTCTATCCGTAGCAACAGTTTCAACCAAAATTAGTAATGCATTGCTGTGCTCCGAACATTTTATGACATTTATGCGGAATACCATTCAGATTCAAATGACCCATTGGGTATGGCCAAAGTCACCAGGAAATGGGAAATGTTCCCTGGTCGAAACCGATTCTGCTGTGACGGCCGGCTCATGATGGCACCGCATGCGGCAGTGTTCTACATCAATGTGATCCTCATCATTGGCACGAGCGTCCTCTTCTTTGTATTCGAGTGAGTTGAGTCGGCACCATATTAAATTCTGCTAAACCAATGCCTGTGATGTTACAAACTATTTACGTTTTTCGTTCTAGCTGCCCATACCTTAGCCGTCGTGTGACTCCTGTCATTCCAGTTATTTCGGGAGTGTTGTTTCTCTTTGTCATTGGCTCATTGTTCAAGACTAGTTTCACGGACCCGGGTATTATTCCCAGGGCGACTGACGATGAAGCCGCTTACATTGAGAAACAAGTTTGTAAGTTTGATAAAATTTATTTTAATATTAGTGAAAGTCTAACATAGCTGGATTTAGCTGTGTAAAGGCTCTTGGACCCATATTATTTGGTACAGTCTTATTTTTAATATTTTCGTTCTCAAAGTAGGTAGTTGCTTAGCAACTATATATAACATTTTGTTGTAATGCATTTTCGTATTGTTTTGTTTAAAAGTTACGATTCATTATGTTATAATGGTAGTGGTATATACAAGGGGGAATGTTTGGGGGATAGATATTCCCCTTTAGCACTTGTTGTATAAATATTATATTGTTACAAAGTATAAAAATATTGATATCATTAATATTATTTTTTTCTATACATATACATGAATGTCTTGTATAGTTTATTGTTTTCATAGAAATGTGTATTAATTTTTTACAATTATTCATACAGTAGATTATTGTGTTTATTATGAAAGAAATAATTTTGTCAAAAATAAATAGTACTGTTTTTGTTATTTAGATATTTTGAACTAAAATATTTTTTTAATGTATTGAACACTGTTCAATTTTAGTTTATGTGCATGAAAAGCTGTATTTAGCACTTTAATACAATTACTTTTTCCATAACTTCAATCTAAGTTATATAGTCCTATTTTTAAAACTAAGCTGATGATTTGATTGACAATAGTAAAATATTGAATTAAAATTAAAACTGAAAACAGCTTTCCATACAAAAAAATTTGTAAAATTTGAAAAAAAAACATAAGTTTTCAGTAAATAATGATCACCAAATAATAATTTTTCGTATAACAATTATTTTTTTCTTTTCAAATTAACCTATATTTACAAATGTGTTCAGTTAATAGTCAAGTTATTGTTTGATCAATTAAATATCTCTAAAATTATTTTTTTTTTTTGTCTATTTATCAAATAAAATATAATATATTTAACGGATTCAAATTTTAGACATTAGTATACCAAACAATGGAGGAACTCCTACTATACGACCGCCTCCTAGGACCAAAGAGGTAGTCATTAAAGGCAATTCAATCAAGTTAAAGTATTGTGTAACATGCAAGATTTTTAGACCGCCAAGAGCTTCCCATTGTAGTTTATGCAACAATTGTGTTGGTAAGTTATATGAAGATTTTTAGTATTTAAATTGTATAATACAATATTAATTGTTGGTTAAGGGTGTCAGAGCCTTTTGTTTAAGTACTAAAACTTGCCTCACAGGAAAAACTCATTTTTTGTGTAATTATCGAATTTTGATAATTTTACTTTTTATAAGATAAAGACTTTACAGGGAGTGAAACACCTATTTTCTTAAATTTTCGGAAGCTGCAAAAAAATTTCTAAATAACTCAA